ATATATTTTTTCTTTGTATACCCCGAAGGTAGTAAACAAGCATACATCCCGTCTGATGGTAAACAGCTACTGTAGCCCATAGACCGGCCGCAACACTAGCATTGCCGACCCTGATAAAATCTATAATATATCCTTTTTGAAGAACCCCTCTGTAGGAAAAACCTGGGTAGGGAGCTCATTCCATAGGCTGAGTGTTTGCAGAAGAAAATTCCTTTGAAATCATATTATACGTGACCATTTAGGTTCAAGCGTATGAAGATGAATTCCCTGTCGAAAAGTGAGCGGTGGGATGATAAAAGGTGGCTATAAGCATCATTTCAAACAATTCCTAATTTAAATTTTTTAACCTTTTTTTACCCATTGGTTATCGTTTGTCGTTTCTTCGAGCTATGTGACCAACCCATTACCACTTCAGCTTGCTTATTTTTTAGGCTATGTTGGCCACTTTAGTTATTTTTCGGATATCCTCGTTGTAGATTCTATCATACAAAGAAACTCCAAGCATATCCCTCTCCATAGCTCGCTGAGTAACTTGGAACTTCTGTATATTGCCAACTATGTAGAACTATGTTTCGGGTCCGTAGATCATCACTGGCGACACGCACTGGTTGAAGACCTTCGTCTTCGAACTTTGAGGTATTTCGGATAAGAAGGTGTAGCGTAATTTTCCGAATTATATAAATATTATATATTTATAATTACTATAAATATAATTTATCTAAGAAACAGCTCGCCGTTAAACTATATGTTGGGCCAAAATTGAAGCTGCTATTTTTGAACGAAGTAGAATATTCTTGTATCCTTTCTATCTATCCTAAATTCTAGGATCAAGTGTAAATATCCAGCTATAAGACATGTAATAATTCCATTTCGTGTTACTAGGTTTGTGATATGCTTTCCAACGTAATAACTTTCTAGGAGTTAATTAAACTTGTCTCCCAGGATTTGGTTCAGTGATTTACTATGCTCTGATGGCATAGAAACAGCTCTAGTTTTGGAATTAATCTGAAGAGTTAAGATTATTGGATGGTGTGTTGAAAATGACACTTCTTGTTATTAACTATATGCCTAATAAAAGACTATCCTTAAAATAAAATTATAAATAAAACCTACATGAAATACTGTATTGTTCACCAATATTTTTTTTGGAATGAAGACCTGAATTATCTATCGTTACTTAAATACGCTGTTCAATTGTCGAAACGCAATCTACATTTGAGGGCTACTAGATAGTATTGAGCGATATAAACTGTTAATCTATGATTATAGCAGTAGTATAGCTTAGCCCTGAGGACTGATATCAGAGGTTAGATAACTTCCTTTGAGCCTTTCTTTCCTGTCTTTTTATTTAATAAATGATAATTTAAGATTGCATTCCACGAAATAAACCGTCTTTAATTGGGTCAAAACCGGTTATTTTAATTCAGAAACTAAACTAATATCTAGATTTTGGAAAAAATTTAATAAACCAATCTGAAAGTATATTCTATCTCGGTTTATAACTGATGAAGTTATGAGATAACAAAAAAAAAATTAAAAAAATTGAGAATCTCCTATTTTTTGAAGTCAGTCAAAAATAGAAATGTAATACTACCTGCGCTATTGGCTGCTGGCGGAATACCAATGAGGAACGACAGTTAAGAGTTGCAGTTTGCACGTTGCTGTGAAATGACTGATTTGTTCATTTTATTAAGAATTCACTGGAAAGTAATCGTAGTTTCCAAGTACCTCATACAGATCGACTGTACGTGGTATACTGCTATCAAATTTTAGTTACTAACAATCCTTTCCCTCCGAAAAACTAATAAACTACCAACATTATCACCAGAATAACCCATTACCGGCAAGGGAAGAAGGGATTGTTAGTAATGGGGATTTAGTAGTCCCATTGCTTGCAATATACCCTATCAGGTCGACCTCCACGCGGTTCCCCCTGGAAACCATCGTGGTTAATTCTAGTGGAATTCGTCAGGATGGGCTAACTGACCTGCTTCATCCTCATCTATCATCCTTCACTGGTGCTCCACCAGTGTATACCGATAGCACAGGCGGGGTTACCATTCCATTATCATCCAATAAAACAAAAACTCAGTTAAATTGTCCTTCTCCATCTCATATGCAGGTAGTACGTATATGCCAAATTTTATGGTGATTAGTAAAATTATTGAGGTGATAAGATGTAACAAACAAACTCACTTTGACATTTTTAATATTACTAAGAATTATATTAGGGTCACCCAATACATAAATTAATATTAACATTTCCCTTATGTGATTAAAAAATTTAATAGCTTGCTTATGCACAAACAATAAGGCTTAATTTCTGTTGTCTTCCACTTTAACTGCTGAGCATCCGGACATTAAGGTTGTTTCATTATCCGGAACATAACGGCCACCCTGTATAATAACGTGGTCGAACTAAGTTAATGCCGGCCAATGTCGGAAGGTGCTACATTGTGCAAACACACGGGATGCTATCTCGTATTTCACGTTTAAATAATTAAACGAATTAAGTGTTTTTTTAATGGGTGAAAAAGGCATGGTAACCCTCGCCTGCGCTATCGGTATACACTGGCGGGGTACCAGTGAGAGGTGATAGATGAGGACGAAAAGGCAGGTCAGTTAACTAATCGTGACGAATTCAACGATAAGTTAGTCACGATAGTTTCCAGGAGAAACCGCGTGAAGGTCGACCTAATAGGATATATTGGTAGCAATGAGGACTAATCTCTCCATTACTAACAACCCCCCCCCCCTAATTAAGCGAATAAGACCTAGATTGCAAAATTTTCACTTGCAACAGGTCGATTCGATGGATTTTTTTTATTATGGTGAACACACTCCAATAGGCAGAGGCCTATGTTTATTAGTGAACAGCGAAAGGCTGGATTTAGAAAGAAATTCTCAGGAATGGCAAAGTATGGGGGGGATCATGGGCGAAACAGCATACTCTGTTATGTCCACAGTACTGCTCACTACTAACTAGCACCAGGTGTTATTCCTCTGTACCCTGTAAATTCGTTGCCATAGTTCATTCGGTTTGTAGGGTGGGAACCCTTCAAACCGAAACACAGCCATGCAGACACAATTGCTTCACTGTAGAAACATGAATGAATTAATAAAAAATTATGTATTTAATATCTCCAGTCGGTTCCACATTTTCTATCTGTATGTTTCATATTTTAACACTGACTACTGGGGGCAGGTACTAACAGACTGGGGAGACCGAAAATGGACTCGGCCCGTACGTGCGGTACGCTTTAATTACGCACTTAACGAGAGCCTAATGCTGTCTCGTTATTGCCGAAGTACTGTGTATTGTGCTAGTTTGAACTACTGAAACTTCCAATTGCGCGTTTGGTTCGGACTGTGGTCATGTTCGATATTTAAATATTTGATTTTTTTTATGTGGTTTAGAATGGCAAACAAGCTGAGAGCCTACTGATATAAAGTAGTAACCGTCGTGTATAGATATTAATAATACTATGGATATAATAAAATACACTATGTCACCAATGATGTCCTTCATGAGTTGCCATTCCTGAGGATTAAAGTTTTGATTTTTTTTTGTATATTTTTATTATACTAAGGAAACCAAGCTGACGGAGGGTAACATATTTAATTAATATGGTAGTTAAGAACTTAAAGGAACCTAAATAATATTTTTAATATAATTTTATCGACTGCTTGGGTACCTCTGTCCCATTCGTGTTTCTACCGTGAAGCAGTTGTGTTTGCATAGTTGTGTTTCGGTTTGAAAGGTGGGATATGGCGTGAATTTGCAGGGTACAAACACCCGAAAGAAGAAGGAATAACACCCGAGTCCTCAGGAATGGCAACGCATGGGGGGTATCATGGGCGAAACAGTATACTCAGTTATGTCCATGGTACTGCTCATGTCTATAGGCGACGGTTACCACTTTCCATCAGGTGGGCCGTCAGCTTGTTTGCCATTGTAAGTTGTATAAAAGATTTTTTTTTTGTATTTTTAATTGATGTATTTAATTTTTACAAGGAGGGTTGACGTCAGGCAGGTGGTCGGCCGTAAAACCAATAAGCATATACATTTTGTAATATGAATAACCTTCCTACCCTTATCCCAATTATGCCTATAATTGAGTAGAAAGGTGATGATTTTTAATGGATAAGAGAAACGATATTTTTACTCTAATATCTTTTATAAATATTTTAATTGAATTGGAGAATCAATATTTTAAACAAATATTTCCGTTAAATTATTATTCATTACTTTTTAGCGAATAAATAATTTCAAACGTTATATCTAAGTCCTTAATACTTCATCGTCATCATCATACCAAGCGATAACTGAATTTATTGGGGGGGGAAGGGATTGTTAGTAATGGAGACTGAGAATCCCATTGCTAGCAATATACCCAACCAGGTCGACCTCCTCGCGGTTCTCCCTGGAAACTATCATGGTTAATTCCTGATGAATTCATCATGATGGGCTAACTGGCCTGTTTTCATTCTCATCTATCACCCTTCACTGGTGCTCCGCCAGCGTATCCCGTTTGTGCGGACTGGATTACCATACCATTTTCACTCATAAAAAAAAAAAAACAAAACTACAAATTAAGTTTACAATAAAACAATTATGAATGGATAAAATGACTATCACAAACATCGTATTTATAAAAGTGAACAAAAAAGAGCTACCAAGCTATAATCAATTACTGTATTCTTGAACAGACCAGTTCCTACTAGAAGCACTCGTTCACGAGTATGACGAATTAGGTGTAGAATTATTTCAAACACTAAAACTTTCATTTAATATCTACATATAAAATATTAGTCTTAACTATAAATATCTTCAGTATATAATATACAAGTTATTGTATATAAAAAAAAACATTTCTATTCGTCTATTTTCGTCTCGCGTCGGTTTCCGTTTGTGAGTCGCCCGCTTCGTGATTATTTTCAGTTTGTTTTTCCACACTTCGTGGAAGATCCACTTTGTGTAGAGCCCTCGTGTTATTTTATTCAGATCTCATTTGACATTGAATCTATTCGCTCCGTTTACAAAGTTTGCTTTCATTTGCGACAAATAGTCTCAATGGAGCATGCCGAATTAGAGGCTTCAAAGAAGCATCGTTTAATCTTATCATCGTAACTTCAATCTCGATTCTCAATACACAAAGATCATTTCCCTGTAAATTAATAATTTGTTTCGCAATCTCAAAGTATGTACGTGTGTAGTTTGAATGTAAACTCATTTGACACGCGTGTGCAACTTTCAAATTAAACGAGAACGATCGATCAAGCCAAGATAAAACGCGCGTCTGTGTACACTGCACTATTTACGTTTTATTACCGGTAATATTTGTATCGGGTTTTATTTATTAATTTAGATATTAAAACGAGCGCGGCGTTAGTATACGCCGATCTATATTTACACGGGCGCGTGCACACAAAACAACCCATAGAATCGTGAAAGCGCGGCGCGCGCGCACGTTCCGTCGCGTGGCCATATCAATGGATCGATTATGACAAAACACAGGACGTGTGAAGTGCAGTGCGCTCAGTGATGTACAGTGGAAATGTTTACCAACCTGAAGCTGCCGTTGTTGAAACAGAAAGGGGCAAAGGAGGAGCCCCTGTACTGCTATAGAAGTGTCAAAACTAAACCACCTAAAACCCCTACACTGTCGCGGGCGAAACGCCATCAAAGACGTAAGTTCGTTATTCGGCTTATGTTTGTTTATGCGAAAATAAACAGAACTTAATGAGGTGCGGCCCGTTCGACTGTTTGTACGTACCTAACTCCGGAATTAGATGTTTCTGGTAATGGGATGCATGGAGATCGTTCGCCCCGGATAGACTAGGGCGTGTGTACTTCTAGCAAATTAAAGCGGTACAAATCTGCCTCGGTGAAGTCGAGTGTAGGATTATTCCTGTATCAATCTCGGAGTCGTCTGTGATATGTTATTACTGCCTCTGTAACGACATGCTCATATCTAACATGTTATTAGTCGAGTATACAAGTAGTTCATTAGCTTATTATTAATTTAATTTTACATGCAAAAAGGATACTTGTACATGGGTTTACATACATACATATCTGTCACGCCTGTCTCCCATTAGGGTATGCAGAAACAATGGAACGCCAAATGCTTCGACTCAAACAAACCTCTTTCTCTTCTTCCACATTCATCAACCTTTTCATACACGCTCGCCGGTTACGGGTACTTTTAATTTGGCCCTTCTTCAGCACGTCGCCTATTAAGTCAAGATACGCCTGTCTAGGGCGGCCTCTCTCTCAGAATTACAAAAATCTCTTTTGTAATTCTTTCTTCCTAAATGTCCATTCTCTCTAAATGGCCAAACCAATGCAATATTCCTTTTTCAATTTTTGTCTATTTCATTAGTTTTATTTATTTATAAACTTCAATATTGTAGTGTAAATGGTGAATATATGGCGTTATCTACCAGTCGACCGTAGACAGGAATAACAGAAAATATAAATAAAACAATATTAAATAAAAACAGTAATTTAATAATAATATACGTTTAATATAATACTCATATTATCTACAAATAGTTACATTATACACGCACATGCACACACACACACACGCGCGCGCGCACACGCACACGCACACACGCAATCACGCACAGGCACACACGTACACACATACACATATATATTATAATAATAAATAATATCGGACAGAGAACTACTCTGATACAAGGGAAAGACCAGCATCAGAAAAAACCATAGTGTCTAAAACGTATTATAATTCTATAAATTCTAATTAAAAAGAACTTTTTAATTTTTAGCAAATTTTGCTACTTTTGAATTCCACGCGTGCGAAGTAGCGCGCAATGAGCTAGTTTAAATAATTCAATTTCTGTGCAATATCTTGTGTCTACAATTGGACTAATTTAACCACAGGCTTTATCATGAAATTAATGTGGAACTATACATATATAGTATTATAAAAATATAGTTATATAAATATATAACTATGACATATTATTTACTGGATATACAGACCTAACAATACCTTCAGGGAGGAAAGGATTGTTAGTAATGTAGATTACCAGTTCCATTGCCACCCTATAAGGTCGACCTCCACATGGTCGCTCCTGTAAATCATCGTGCTAAATTCCAGGTGTATTTATCACGATTCGCCAACTGACTTGCTATTTCATTATCACCTGTCATCCCTCACTGATATACCGTTAGCGCCAGTGTATACCGTTAGCGCAGGCGGGGTCACCATTCCATTATCATCCATTAGAAAAAACCTTCATGCTAGCAATATATTCTATCAAGTCGACCTCCACGCGGTTCCTCCTGATAACCATCCTACTTAATTCTTGTCCAATTCTTTACAATGGACCAACTGATTGATTCTCACCTATAATCTATCACTGGTGCCCCGCCAGTGTATACAAATAGCATAGGCCTACCATTCCATTTTCACACATAAAAAAAAAACAATACTTTTAATAATCTGTTACATTGTTGTCAATTGTGTTTGTTTATCCGTATGTCTCTACACGAATCATAACATCATAAATTTATAATAAAAAAAGAGTGCCCTGTTGAACACAGTGAAAATTTAATGAGCAAAATCTATCATCAGCAAAATAAATGTACGTGAACTGAAACGGCATTTATTCTCGCATTTTACTCTCGTATAAAAATAAGCTTAAAGCATAAGGCCATAAAGTGTATTATGCAAACACACTCGACAATAACAAACATACTTTGAAAATGACACATGAAATGTTGCAATAATTCTGGAAAAAAGTGTAATTTTGTCACGATGGAAATCTTTTTTGCAGAGCAAAATCAAATTGTACTGTGATATCCTTCATCATCATTAAGATATCAGCCGTTAACTGCTGAAAGTTATTTATTGAAAAAAAAACAAAGGAACATTATGGCGCGTAAAATTATTAATGTTCGTTATTCGTCATTGAACTTAAAAAGTAAAATTGTGTTTTTGATTTCCGCGCATTGTTTGAGAAAAGTACTATACAAGTCTTGGCCACAACTAGGCATTGATAGACTCACGTATGTGTTCCTCGGCTACGCCTCGGCCCACATTTGCACGTTTGTCCATCAGTGCCTCAGTTGCTGGCCGCTGCAGTAATGTACTAATATATGAATAAATGGATGACTATTTATTTTCAATATCTAAAGAGAAATTTTATGAACTTACTATATTGGTCATTTCTGACAATTTTTTCGACTCTATTCGGAAGTCTTCTTCAGGGGGTGTACGGCGCTTTGCTTCAAAGCGTCTCACCTTGCACAAAAAAAAAACATATATTATAATCTTTCATAAAATTTTCCATTAAACATAGACATCATTAAAAAATGGACATAAGTTTTAAAAATAATACACAACCATTGTCTTTAAGCGTTAATTTCGACAACTATAGCGACGAAGTTGCAAACACATTTAATATTTTAATTATTTTAATAATATCAGTAAAGCATATAATATTACTTTAAATTGGAGCATAGCGACAGATATTTCGACGTTGCTAACATAGAGAAATATTAATTTGCATCAAACACTAATGAGAAAGCAAGCAAATACAATGGGCTTCGTACCGTAAAGGGTATTTACGTCAAGTGTAAAATATAACTGAGCTATTTTGTGATACAATATAAATTCAGTAAATGCTCGACTGTTTTTAGCATGTACTCATGGTATACTGTAATATGAATTTATATCGAACTGATCTATCTAAACTTCATCTCAAATCTGGACTAAAAAATCCGTCTATCTAAATTTGCTTCTAAAAGATTTTTTTACAAATAATTTACTTTAAAATAGTGCTGAACATAATCCTTTCCCAGAAGAGGAGTTTTACTAGTAGTTGTCATGCTTGGCAGGTGGGTTGACAACCGCAGTTAGGCTTTAGTGGTATTTTAAAAGAGACACTGCTGTCCAGCCCTTGACCATTAAGTTCCCTTAGTCGCCTTTTATACCAATCAGGGGAAAGAAAGGGGCGGGCTATCCTATGCCAGAACCAAATAGACAAAAAAAGAACTTATAAGGTAAAAAATATAAAAGCAATACAATCGAAATAAACATCTTCTTCTTTTTAGAAGTCGGTTGATAAAAAATATTAAAACTGAACATGTATAATAAAAATAGTATCATAAAAACTTATTTCTCTTTTGCCAAAGATTGTATTAAGTAATTATGTCAGTACAAAATTTTTGATTGCAAAAGGTAAACCTTTTCTTACTTTTGTTCGTGCAATCTTTTGTTTACATGCTCCGTTTACATTGTGTGTATCCCTTTAATCACTGGTCTCTTTAACCTGAAAACAAATGCCACCATAAATTTAACATCAAGTTTGTAATTAACGTCTCTGAACTAGATCTGGACGGTTATAAATAGTACAGTTTGTAAACAAAATCTGTTTTATTGGGACAGCATACGTACACTGTGGTGTTTGGACAACCAATTGTAAGGTGCATACCAGTATATCTGTTGCAGCCGTAAACAAGGACTTCCTATTCCGACCAGCGACAAGCTTCACATAGTTGAGGTGCGATTCGTAGAAAACCTTTGTTATAATGTGGGTAACATTATAGTTTTACACGTAACTCGAATGATGATAGAGATTGATGGAAAAATGTATGCTACTTGTTTTATTACCAGGATGTCATAAAAGGTGATGGAAGAAACAGGAATACTAAGAAAGGTAAATAGCAAAGCACTATAACCTGAGACATGGTGATCTGTAACTATACTGAATATATGATAGGCCTTTTTTTCAAATACGAGTACAACGTCTTTTTCGTACACAAAACGTCATGAAGGGCGACTAAAAGAACGCTTGTGCAAGAGAAAGAATCTTCGAAGTGAAATCTTATTCCAAATCCTTGGCTAATGTGGTAATAACTAATATCAAACCTCAACTAAAAGTGTCTTACGTCCAATAGTAGAATATTATGAGGTTATTAAGTATTAATGAAGGTGTAATGGCCAAAACGATAAGGTTTCCGTTACCGTTTATATTTATAATGATATCATTAAATTATTAACAGTAGCAAAATGTAAAATGGATTCTAAATTGTATTTACATTTTACCTTTACGATAGAAAGTAGTAATCATCGCTTATGGACACGAACAGCTTCATCTTGAGAACTAACGTAGTACAATTCCATTCTCTGCAACTACTGATGTCCCTTCCTTTCCAATGGATGTCCTAAGAGGCGTCTAAGAGAATTTAATAGGCGAGAATTGGAAAGCAGCGTCCCTCTGAAAACATCACCAAAGCCTAACGGCAATTACCAACCCACCTGCCAAGCGTGGCAACTAGTGACCAAATCCGGCTTTATGGACGAGACCTATTTTCAACTATGGACAGTTAAAGGCTAATAATGATAATGATCCCTTTTTTCAAACCGGAACCAAATTACAAAATCGACTTGGCATCTAAAACTCGAGTGGCATAATGGCACCTTACATTCACTGCCCATAAAGAATCTACACTAAACTTCAATCATATAAACTCATCAATTGAAACATTCAATTCAGCATTAACCAATTATATAGCATTACCAATATCTAAACGCACACAGGGATTTCTTTGATTTTAAACCACACGGTATCTGTTACCGTCTGTCAGACGTCGAAGCTCTCCCATTGAGAGGGCCGGATATATTTAGAGTATTGCGTAAAGTAGGCTGACC